CCAACTCCAAGCCCCCCTTTCCCAGCTGCTGCAGCCAGCCCAGGCTCCTCACCTGCTGTGGCACCTTGAAGCGAACATAGGAGCAAAGCTTCAGCATATCTGCCATCTCCTCAGGCGTTGAGGGAATTAAAGGGATCCTGTCAATGCGTTCAGACTCTTGCAGCTCCCGGAGCTGCTTAATGAACTTGCTGTCAGTGGTACTCGGCAGGCCTGCGTTGAACAAGAAGGGAGGCACAAGCTAAAACCCCAACAAGACACCAACAGCCCCATCAACAGAGTGTCAGTGTACTGACCACCATCATCCCTGCCTCTGGCCTTCCACTTGCTCAATCATTTTAAAAAAAAAAAAAAGAAATCAAAATAGAGGGAGAGAATAAAATCAGTAAGTATGTACAGCAACCTTAATATGTACCCAGAGGTACTCCAGCCTCCCTCCTGCTCCAGGGCTTGACCACCGAGCCCCGTGGGCTGACACAACACAAGGTGTGTTCCCTGTAGACAGCCATGAATATTTTGGCAAAAACTATAGTGTTTATTTTTGTATGGACAGTGGATGCAAATACTAATGCCTATGCTCAGCCTACTACAGCAAAGGGTCAGAAGCCCCATCTGCATGAAGAATCCCACAGCAGCTTAATCCCAGACCTCTCTGAAGCCCCCACATAGAGGTTTCACATCCAGAAAGACCCAGAGAGTTGGCTGACACCTCTCCCAGAGAGGAGGGGGAACTTTGCCATCCCCAGAGCCTAGTAGCTAGGTAACCTTGTGCCTTGCTTCACTACTTAGTTCTTATGTGGGAGCTGCTTTCCTTGCGTGGGAGGAGGAAAGAGCTGCTATAACAACCGGCATGCAGCAAAGCCCTCCCTGGCAGAGAAGCTCCCTGCCAAACTGCCCAAGCCTCCTGCAGCATTTAATGACCAGGATCCCCCCAACACCCCGGCCAAGGGGGTGGCGGGGGTGGAGGGGTGCTGCACAGGCACAGGGACACCCTGCTGACCTGCGCCTGGCCCCAGCGTGCTCTTCCCTCTTGGACCACCCAAACGTGGGAGAAGCAAGCTCATCGGCACCCAGAGCCCCAGCCCTCCAGCATGCTGGGGCTCTCAAGCGGCCAGTCTGGGGAGACTTTTCCCATTGCTGCTTGGGTTCCCCCTCCAGACTGAGAGGCTATGTATGTGCTGTGCAAAACAGCTGCCACCCCACAGGGAAACATATTTTCCTCCAGAGCAGGACTTTTCCCATTTGCCCTAGTCCCAGCTCTAACTACAGCACAGCAGGGCAGACTCCAAAGCCCTGGAGAAGAGCAGTCAGGACAAGACTGTGTTTTCCTCCCATGCCCTGGAAGCGTGCCCTGGCAGAGATTTACAGACTGTACATACAAATTATTTCAAAATGTTTTGCAATAAAAGCCTATTTTGCCTCCAGCACTGCTCTGGGCTTCGGCACCATCTCCTTCTTGCCCTCTCCCCACCTCACCTCCCCTTTATTGCCCACCTGCAGGACAGATAAGGGTCAGGCTGCAAATGTCTTCTGGGTACTGAGCAGCATAGACGCCAGCAACGTTTCCCCCCATGGAAGTGCCAACCAGATGAAAGGGCCTTCTGTTCAGCTTGATGCACTCCACAAACTGGCAGGGGAGCAGAAGGAGCATTGTTAGGGGAGAGGAAGCAACGATGTGGGGTCATTAGAGAAATTCAGCTCAAAAGCTTGAGGTCAGTGGCTCTGGCTGCCTATGAAGGGAGGGAGCAGGGCCACACGAGGCAGGGCTCATGGGGCTTAGCAACCCTTATGTCCCCACATCCCTCACATCCCTGCATCCCTCTGCAAAGGCAATGCAATGCTGGGGCATTACCTGGTGTATTCTCTTAGCTTGCCCACTAATGGAGTAATCGTCCAAGGCTGAGCGGGTCGTGCCCTCGTGCCCGGGCATGTCAACACACACCAGGTGCAGGTTCTTCGGCAGGAACTGCAGAAACGAACCAGGGGTGGTTACTGTGCAGGGGAACCACTGCAAAGCCCAAGGATGGAAACCGGTGACCAGGGTGGGAGCAGGGGGGCCACTCTCCGCCTAGCAGCCCTTGGTCACTCATGCACCAGAATAAGTCAGCTCATGTATCAAGGATGACACGATGAGAAACTACGGAAAAGGCTCACTTCCCATGGAGGAGGCAGAGGCAGGTATGTGCTGCTCTTCCCATGAAGCTCTGCATGTCATAGGGATGAAAGGGATCCAACGAGCAATGAGTGCAGAGCTAAGAAGGGTTTCTAGCACGTTACAGTGATCGTAACATCCCACACATGCAACCGTTGGGTTCCCACACTGCACTCAAGCCCAGGACCATCGACTCTCACCAAGTAGCAACATGATAGAAACGGAGTCCCACCTTGACTATAGACAGCCACATGTCTTTGTGGGCTGAGAACCCATGTAACATCAGGATGGACGGTCGGTATCCGGGTCTCCCTCTATAGGAATAACAAAACTGATAGTCATCGTAGTTTGCATATCTAACCTGCATACCCAAGGCTCGGCGCCAGTACCTGGAGACAAGGAGAAAACACCACCAGTGAGTGAGGCAGGACCAGGGCCTTGCAGCAATATAAGCCAGGTGACAAGTGCAAACTCAGCTGCAGATTTGATAAGGCCAGTCAGGTTGGGCTCGCATCAGTGCTGTCATGGCCCTAACTGGGACTAACTCTGAGCATCTGGTCCCTGGACCAGATCCCACACTTAGATGTGATCCCTGACAGGTGTAGTACTGGCCGCTGCTATTCATGGCTGCACTGCAGATGGCTTGTGGAGACACTCTGTTAAAAACTTAAAAAAATACCTGAAATAACTAATTTGCACAATTCCTTCAAGACAATAGAAATGGGTCAAAATAACAATCCTAAAACTGAAAATACCCGAAGGCTGGTATGGGGAGAAAGGCTCAAGAGAGAAAGGCAGCACACATGGCAAGGCAGCATGCAGGACAGGCAGTCCAAGGGAGGCACTGGTTCCAGGTGGGTTTATTTGGGCACACCCTTGCAGCCATGGGACAACATCACACCACGGACAAGCACACCAGATCCCAGCCAAAACAACCGTGTCACCCAGGAGCACCACAGAAACCCATTTCCCGTATATGAACTAGATGATCTTCAAAAATTTATTTATACAGACACAAAGGACCAGAGAGGGCCATCCTTACACAGGGTCAAACACCCCAAAAGATACCAGGCTAACCCCAGGGAAACCTGGGTTATTCCTCTGAAAGCAGAGGCAGATAGCTCCTGCCAGCGCACACTTGCAGCCTGCTCAAGAAGGATGCAGTGAAACTGCCGGCCAGAGGGGACCTGGGCAGAGATTATCGGTGACACTTCGGACACATGATGTGTACGTGCAGTCCAAGACAGAGGAGCAGGCACGCTTTCTCTGCATTTCCCCTATGCTCAGATGTAACCCTTGTCAGGACAACTACCAGGCTACTCCTGACGGCCAAGCTACAGGCAAATATTTTATACACAATAACAGAATGTATTTGAGACACAAGAGCAAGGTCACCAATACTGCTGGGCTGTCCTAGCTCTCTGCCCACTCAAAGCTTATGCATAGTGCAATCCTCTTTTAGCATAATCCCTTTTTAGAGGGAGTTAGTGGGACTTAAGCAGCATCTCGGCTCTGTGCTGGTCCTACAAGGAGAGGTGAATTTCTCCCTGAATAAGTGTCTTAAGAGTCCTCGCCTCAAAGGCACCGGTGTAAACTACTGATGGGCAAGATGATAACATTTTTAGCAACTGATCCTGATGGATCAATTCAGCAGAAGGCAAAATAATCTGTGCAAAGCTGAACTGATCCCTCGCAAGGTGTTAACGCGCTTAGTGGCAGCGGCTAAACTGATTAACCCCTGGCAGCAGAGCAGGCAGGGCAGGCAGAGCAGGCAGGCTCTGGGGCTGGGGTCAGCGGGGCAGCCCGGGATGTCACACCTGGCAGGGAGGCGCATTAGCTGGGGGGGGGCCGATGGACACGGGGGGGGGGCCCAGCATGACCCTTGGCCACGCCGGCTGAGGACACGCAGACCAGCAGCGAGGAGGAGGAGGGGGGCAGCGAGTGGTGGGAGAAGGGAGAAGTGTCCCCAGGAATGCTTCGGGGACCTCCCAGGAGTGGTGCCACAAAGCTGGAGCCACACAGGGCTGAAAAGGCAGGGCAGCATGGCATGCTGGCTGCCCCCCCTTCAGCCTTTGCCAATGGGGAAACACAACGATTTTGCCCCAGAAAAAGCCAACTCGGAAAGAAGCAAACAGGAAAGGAAGAGTAAAGGGCAAACCCGCTCTTCTTGCCCACTGTCCCTAAGAAAAGAGGTGCCCCTGAAACAGAGAGCATTGCAGTTACTCCTGCAAGATGCCAACGCTGCCAGAAACGCTGGAAAGGAGAGAGAGAGAGATAGGGGCGCTTACCCTTCTAAAGAAAGTGGCCCTGCTGATCTCTGTTCACACGCTCCCTCCCTCAGTCGAACACAGACCGACCTACCCACGGTGTGTCTTCATTCAGCCCCTAATTTACAGCCCTGAAGGACAAGGCAGCAGGGTCTTCTCTACCTGCCTCTCAACCTGGCTCCTGAAAGCTCTTGGCATCAGCCCCTGTCCTGCCACCCCTGCCCACGGCCCTCTGAAGGCTTCACCCCAACCACACTCGCTCTGCTCTAGTGCAGCAGTGTTTCTCCAGAGATATTGCTCTGAACCTGAGCCCATCAGGGTCCTCCCTGGCTTCCACTGGCTGCTCATATGTCCAAAGGAAAAAAAACAACCTTTGATTGACAAACCCGGTACCATATGGACCTGCCCCAAGCAGCAGCCCAGATGTCCCCGGGGCAGGAGGCTGTCACATTGCCTGCTCTCCTTTGAAGAGCGACGTTTGCCTTGCAGGTCCCCACATGATGCACAACGGGAAGAAATTCTCCCTCGTGCCGATTCAGTCACTGGGGTTTTCATCCCATCCTCCCTCCTCACTCAGCCCCGAGATGCTGTAATTAAAAGGTTGCTAATAAATTTGCCATTAGAAACAGGCTTCATCACGCTGCTGCGTCTGAGTGACGGATGGGCTAACGTTCTCCTCTCACAGGAGGTCACTTTGATTTGGAAACACCCCGTGAGCAAAACTGCAGGAGCCACCATCTGCCAGCGGCACGTGAGGGCAGCCTGCCGCGCTGCCTGCTGCTGCCCCAGCTTCCGAAGGGAACGTTATTCCAGCTTTCCTCTGCAACAAATCCAGACAGGAAAGCCACCAGCTTGCTTATCACTGATCTCCAGGGACAGATGAAGACTGAGGGATGTAGCACCTGCCTCCTGGTATCGGAAAGGATGAGATAAGGAAAAGAATCCCTCCATCTTCTCTGATGCTCCAGCCCAGAAGAGAGGGGGAAAATGAGAAAAGCCTCGTCCGTAACTACCAGTGAGAGAGAAGTCCCTGCCTGCCGAGCAGGCTGTTAACCGGGAGGGAGCATGTGAGCCCGGGGAGCCGCGCAGAGCTGAGGACGCCCACGCCGATGGCTGCACTGACGAGGCGGGAGGTCACGAGCCTGCTGGGGCTGCCAGGCTGGGGGACGGGCAGCAAGAGTGATTCTTTTTCCAGCTGCAGTCTCATCCTTGGGAGAAACAATCCAGAAACTTTTGGGGACATCCCGCAGCCCAGCTGAGTCTGCCCTGACAGATATAAGCCTCAGCAGCAAAAAAGTGATAAGAAAGTGCCATTTTTTTTCTTCCAGAGATGCTTAAAGCTACACACAGCTCGTATGCCCATGGAAAACCCCACCTCACCTTCTCCTATTGCCATCAGAGGCAGGAATTCCCACCTCTGTCCACACCGACTTGCTGCCTGCGGGTTCTTCGTGCACCTGTGTGTGTGCTGGGGACCTGATGGGGACCAGCAGTAATTCCACCCCTGCACTAAAATGAGAGCAGCTGGGCTAATGAACTCACCAGTAGTAGATGCGGATCAGCGCTGAGGGCCAGAGGAGGAAGGAGGCCACGAAGGCCAGGATGGGGATAGCCAGAGTGCCACCGGCAATGACAAACATGTTCAGCACATCCAGGTCCATGCTGGTTTCCACCACCCGGCCTCACCTGACCACATTTAGGGAAGGATCAGAGGTTAAACACCAGAAACAACGATAAGTCAATGCTAAATGAGATCTCTGCTGCCAGGGAGAGAGGAAAGCGGCTCTGCGAGAGGCAAAGGATACCGATCAGGAGTGCAGCAAAGTCTCTTTCAGTTTTAAAACTCAATTATTTCTTCTGGCTCCTTAATGGATCTAATTAATGCAGTGTTATCCTCTCAGGAGAGCACATCTCAAACAGGCAATGAGCATTCTAACAGACACAGACCACATCCAGGGTAACAGGGTGCGACAGTGCAACATGGCCCTTGGGGCACATAGCAAACGGGGGAAGCACAGCCCCACTCTGTTGGGTGCAGGCAGCCTTTCGGCCCTGATGGTGCAGGCAGGGCTGCCTTAACACAGGCTCCGCGTTGCTTTTCGGAGGCAAGCATCCAGCTCTGGCTCCCCTCCCCCTGCCCGATCCCAAATCCCCAGCACACAACCACTGACCTAGAATTGATGGCTTGAGCCCGGCTCTCATTACTGCTCCACACAGGCACCAACTAATCAAGGGAGCAGAGCCTATTAATGGGCTCGGAAACCGAAGGAAACAACCTGGCAGGGTGCTCTTTGGCGACCAGCCCTTATCTGAGACAAATTCGTCCCTGCCCCCACGTCCTCGCTACTGCCCCATGGGGCCTTTTTGCACTTGCTGTCGATCACAGGTCCCCATCCCTGCTCCTGAGCATCCTTCGGACAAACCTCAGGGGTGGCAGACAGAGGACGTAGGGTGCAAGGGTGAGGTCTCACACAACGCCATGCTCGTCCCTGAACTCGCCCTGCCACAGGCAGCTGGGATATATTTTTCTCATTAAGAGATTAAACCCTGTCGCACACACATCTCCTCTAATTCCCCCTGCTAACCAACTTAAGTCTCGCCCTTTCCTCAGCACTAGCTCTTTTGTCATACATTTATAAAACGAAACATTGCCAATGCCTGCTCTTCCACGAGCCATGCCCCCCCCATCACCACCACCATATTTCTCCGTGCCAGGACTGCCAGATTCATTCTGCTTCCTGCAAGACCCACGGCAGTATGTGGTATGTTATGCCATGAAGCAAGAACAGAATTTCCGCAGTCACATCCTCTCCCCCTCTGAAGCCGTGACACTGGATCACATCAAACCCACACATTACACATGACCAAGAAAAACCGTTTACAGAAATTCTGAAGCAACAGCCAGGTTTGCCCTCTTCCCCCAGGGAAAACAGGAATAGCTGAAATTTGAGGAATACTGTAAATATTTCCACCAGGCACCTCCTTAACAAAGCTAAACCTCATTTCCTTCTTCAAGTCTCAACCACACACCATTATTCGTTTAATTAACATTTTGCAGAAAGATTTTTGATCTCTGCATGGCTTGTTCATAGATAAACACTTTGTGCAACAGATAAACCTTGTACGTGAGAACGGGGCTGCACAGGAGCCCACCTGAGAGCGCTCGTTGCCTTTCACTACTAAACCAGGAAAGAAACTAAGCACAGAAAATTGCTATCATTCCCATGGGCAACCCGTAACAAAAGAAGGTTGCAGCTAGGAGAAAGCACGGGAAAAGCGCCGGGCGGCGGGAGCCCCTGTGCTCCCCAGCGCGGGGTCACTGCCACCACTGCCTCCACCGCTCTTGGAAAGCAAAACAAGAAGGAGAAAGCCTCTAAAAAGCCCAGCTTACTTTACAGAGATCCCCTCCTCCTCTCGGCACAGGTCCCGCTTGCTGTGGGTAGCGGCAGCGTCTGAAAACACTGTCGGAAGAGGAAAAAAAAAAAAAAAAGGTTAAAATCGCACTGCTGCTTTTTCTCCTCCTTTCAGACTTGGTAGCCGGCTGAGATGGCGAGTTTGAGGCATTTAAGCCACCAGCTTCCCTTCAAGAGGCCTCATCTTCTCCTTCTGACAAACCTTTCCCCTGTTTATGTAAACACAGTCTTTTGTACGATAAAGCCAAACGAGGGCACTTGTTCCAAGCAGGAACAAAGTGCAAGCTGCCATCGGAGACAAAGCGAAAGCCAGCTCGGT